GAATTGTGTATTTGGGCAGCAATCCCTTTTTATACAAGTTTAATTAAAAACAACTACCAAGGTACTGCGATTAAGTTTTTAATTTAATTTTGCTTGTTCTTCTAATACTATAATATTATATTGTTCATAATATTATTGATAATGGTTAAAAGAATAGCTGAAAGCACTTGGACATTCAGAACATTTGCATGATTTCTACATTTGCACAAGTTCTACATAATTTATGTCCAGAATAGAAAAAATTAGGACACAAGAAAAATTAAATAAAATACTTAGCCATGGTACCTTGTCTGTCATTTTTAATGAAACTTATATATATATATATATATATATATATATATATATATATATTTTTTTTTTTTTTCATTTTATTTTTTTATTAATATTAATTAAAATATATATATATAGCATTATATCAACACATTTAATTTTGAACTCTGTACTCCGACATCAAAAAAGGTGCAAGTAGTACCTTTGTTGCTCATCTACTGTACCTTATTTTTAAGGGTAACGAGCAGCACTGGTCTCCACCCATCCTGTAAATCTCTCACGATATATATATATATATATATATATATATATATACAAGTATAGAATTGGGGTATACGGAATAAATTCCAATAACCAAAAAATACTATTTTTAAAAGAGTGCTCAATACAGAGTAGAGCAAATACAATTATTTATTTGAAAATTATAACATAAATATGTTATAAAATCACTATGAAAACAGCCATTTTGTTTCAACAATTCTGGTGTCTTATCAAGTGATGGTGTTGAATGTAGAATCATCTACAATCTATAAATCTATAATATGTTAATCTATAAATATGTTATAATTTTCAAATAAATAATTATATATATATATATATATATATGTGTGTGTGTGTGTGTGTGTGTGTGTGTGTGTGTGTGTGTGAAAATATATAGAAAATAGGAAGGAACTGGTTAGGTAAATAATCCAAAGTCACTTTTTAGTTATTATTTTTAAAAAATAGTGCTCGATACAAAAGTAGAGCATAAATATAATTATTTATTTAAAAATATGATTCCAAATCGCGACATAAGAAGTCCCATGTTTCAAAACAAGAGCCGAAAACTTCAATATAATTATTTAAATTAAATTGAGTTAAAATAAGCTCTGTTCCATATTCAAGCGAAATTTTTTTGGAATGACGTGTTTCTGAAATTTACGTGTTTTAAGAATTGAAATCAAAATTTCCATGGTAACAGCTAGGGCAAATTGTTTAAGTTGGGTAGGCGGGTGTTGGGTGTTAATAATAAGTATCAGTATAGAGTTACTTTCATTGATGTCAAGTCAGGGAAAGGTGGGGGTGTCTAAATTTGAAACGGAAGATGTATTAACCCTCGTCTAGTTTGCATGGAGATTTATTTATTTTTTTATGAAAGGGATTTGTGCATATAAAAACTGTCGTAATGTTTGTTTTTTGACGACCTCATAAAGGGTTATCTTTTTTTAGGGTATTTAAACTATTTATTTCGGCTATGGATTATGAAGGGTGTTAGTTATATTGTATGCATGTTTTTAGTTAATTATTCGAACCATGAATCTGATGAGTATGCTAATAGTTCAAACCAAAAATCTGATGATGCCTACAAAAAACCGTTAACTCGTGTCTATTGTTTAATAGATTATTATTATTTAGAAGCTTAATTATGTGCAATTTCTCATGGAGGCATAAAGGGCATGTCCTGGGTATGACGATAAACTACATCCGACAGAAAGTCTCATCAGGAGATTGGAGGATTTGTGGAGTGTGGAACCACCTTTTAATTGCGTTTGTTCCCTGACCTGGGGTGGTAGCACCTGAGGGTCCCAGCTATGGGCAATTAGTGTCAAGCTGACCAAGCTCTTTAGTGTTATAGAACATGATTGGTCTAGGAGATGGAAAACTCTTACACGAACAGCCTGAGGTATATTGTCTGCTTCGTCTGTGGCATTTATTTGCACTGACTATTTGTATCAATAGTTCCGAAAAGTGTGGATGGTTCTGCACAAGCCTTCACCACTTTAATCAAATCACTTGTGTGGGTTTTCTGGTGGTTTACCTTGATTCGTTCTTATCTACAATACCTAAGATCCTAATGTACAGCCAGTTAGATCAGGGCTACAGAAATGTAGGATGCCCATGGCTAAAATACAAAAAGCTGAAAAGCAACTTGTTAACACGTAACACTCTTGAGCGCTCAGCCTTGGAGCAGGTAGGATGAAGATCAACATGTTTTAGTGGACTCAGCAGTTTTTAATTTGCTAGTCTGAATCATCTTCAAGATGTGAGAGCAAGATCTAAAAGGTCAGCCAATCTAACAGTGATCTCATCTCCCAATCCTCACTCTTGCTCCATATGTGGCCTCCTTTGTAAATCACTAATGGGTCTTAAGTTCCATTTAAGATTATCACACAAAATTTCATAACTGAATCAACTAAGCTGTCAGATCTTCATACGTTGAAACCAACATGAGAGTCCATTATGTATATATATATATATATATATATATATATATATATATATATATATACAATGCTTTGAAAAAGTAAATGACTCCCTCAGATAATATGTAAAATAATTGTCTTTTTTTTTGCAGATAATCAACAAATCTAATTAACCTATATATTTATTCAGAAAAACCTTTATTAGATAAATTACAAAGATGTTTACAAGCTGGAATAAAAATATTAGTTAAAAATTAAGACATGCAAAAGGTAAGTGAACCTATTTTTATATTTTTTGTTTTACATGTTTGCCAGTGCAAATAATTAATTTTTTGTGCCCATTAAAAATCAAAATGACACATCTTCATTTTTTGGTAATCTGTGTATATGGCAGTCAAACAATATAACTTATTGTGTATGCATAAGTGTGCAGTTAGAGACTAAATTTAAAAAAAAAATATATGCAAATATCAAAAGAACTTCCTGAAGCTTTAAAAAATCATAGTTGAAACATATAATGATGGAGAAGGCTACAAAAAGATGTCAAAATACGCTTTGGTATGATGTAATCGCAATCAAGAAGTGGACATCCACAAAATTAACTGCAAGAGCAAGTAGACATCTAGTTCAGCAAGCCCAGGCAAATCCTGCAGTGATCTTTGCAGTCTCCAATGCTCACTGGTCAATGTTAGAATCAATGTGCATACATCTATAATGTGTCAAAATCTGAACAATACTGATATTCATGGCAGAATGCTTAGAAAAAGCCATTGCTTATGAAATAGGACAAGAATACTCATCTCAACTATGCCAAAGCTCATATTAATAAGCTACAAACATTCTGGTAAAAGGTTTTATGGTCAGATGAGACCAAACTAGAGCTTTTTGGGAAAAACAATAGGTAGTATATCTGGCGAGCTACTAATATGGCTTTTGAAGAGACAAATTTGATGCCAGCCATTAAATATGGTGGTGACAGCATCATGATTTGGGGGTACTTTGCTGTGCAGCTGAAACAGGCAAAATAGTATGCATTGATAGCACAATGAACTCTGCAAGACACCAAACAATTTTGAACAAAAGTATCTTGTCCTCAGTTGAAAAGTTGGGTTTAGGTTGGGGCTGGAACTTCCAAAAGAAGCATCAAAGCAAATCCACAAAAAATGGTTTTGTAAAAAGAAATTTCAATTCTTAGAAGAACCTAGTCTGTCCTGATCTAAACCCAATTGGAAATCTGTGATTCAAGTGAAAAAAGGCAGTGCATGCAAGAAATCCAGGTAAAATCAAGCAATTATGAGGTTTTACCAAGAAGAATGGTCAAAAATCAGCACTCACTACTGCCAGAAATTTCTTAAAAATTATAGAAATAGACTGGTTGACATTGTAACCTCAAAAGGAGCAGTCACCAAATATTAAATGTAAGGGTTCACTTACTTTTACACATCTTAATTTTTAATTAATATTTTTATTCCAGCTTGATAAAAAATTTTGAAAGTGGTTGTAATTCATTTAAATAAAGGTTTTTCCTAATTAATATACACTTTAATTAAGATTTGTTGATCATCTGGAAAAAGAGACAATTTTTGGAAATATTATCATAGAGGTTCACTTACTTTTGAAAATAATTAAAACATATTTGTTGTCAATTTCAAATATTGTTCAAACAAATCAGCCTATTGTGTTAAATATGAAAAAGTGGATAAATAATTTGAATTTAAAATAAATCTTTTAACTTAATGCAAAATTACATGGACATGCTATCATATTTTATTGCAATTTTATATTTAAATATGAATAGGGAAAGTAATTAATAATTGCAAAAATGTTCTTTTAAATGTACAACTTGACAACACTTGTTTTGTATGGAGGCCATTTCCAAGGTTAAATGTAGAATTTCAAGTGATAAAGATGTTTCTTTTTCAGACTTCCTTCCTTGTATTTAAACACATGTTAAAATGAACCCACACAAGTTTTCAAAGGAACCATAATCTGAAGAGTTTATAACTGTGATACTCTTGAATTCAAATAATTCCTGAGTGAACTTAGCATTGTTGATTCCTGCTGGAACACAAAATTCCTTCCATAATAAAATTCAATGCAACTGTGATTATCAGTCAAAGAAGTAACTTTCTTTCTGTTAAAAACATATTGGTGTTTAATTCACTGCAAACTTGCTGGACCTTTCTTGCAATTTTTTTAAGATCAACTTTATTTGAGAGTCTTGTACATTGACTGATTTGTTTTCTATAGCTTATAAAATAATTTTAGAGTGTAAGAATTTTTTATGATAATAATGGTCTAGTGATACAAGTCTTACTAATTAACCCATAACTGGGGAGAAGAAGAAGGGTACTTGCATGTAAAGGACAATAACAAACAAAATGGGAATTGGAATTCAACTCTCTGATTAACTATTCTGAGCCCTTATACATTTTTACCGCCTACACATGCAAGCTTATACATTTTTACCGCCTACACATGCAAGCTTATACATTTTTACCGCCTCCACATGCAAGCTTATACATTTTTACCGCCTACACATGCAAGCTTACAGCACCTCGTTTTCCCAAGGGTCACTCATCTAGGTACTGACCAGGCTTGAAGTTATTTAATTTTAGTGATCATACGGGAACTGGTGTTTCCACATGATATGGTCATAAGCAATGGTTATCTTCTGATGCCTTTTCAAGGCAATAATGGTCTGAAGAGATCAATTTTGGTGGTCATTTCTTCTATGTGCCATGTCCCTTCAGGACGTAGAGGATCATGGTTTTCCACAACTTTCTATCCTTTGTAGTGCTTGGCAATTTTGGGACTGTCTTTCCAAGTTTCCAAAAAATCAGTAATGGCACTTCTACATCAGTCCAGCTTTTGCAGAGCAAATGCTATTTTTGCATCAACCAAAATTTACATCATTTTCTTCTTTCTTAAGGTTTGTTCCTGTCAGAATCTTCAAAAGGTAAACAATATGCAGTTTGTGTGCAGTATTCAAATGACAACTGGCAACTTCTAGTATAACTTCAAATAGATTTATATCAATAGAAAGTTCTACATAAATTTTGGAAAATATCTGTAATATGTTCAATAAACACAAAGATATACATATATAAACTACAGTTCAAAAGTTTGAGGCCACCACTGGTAATTTTTTAAATTGGCTCAAAAAGTAGTTGTTTTGTACTTTAAATAAGAGAAAAATATTAAACATGTCTAAAAACAAGTGCAACATGATATTTTATTAGAAATTTTATTATGACAAAAATAAAAAAAAAAATTTTATGATTAAATTTTGCTCTCATCAAAATATCCTTCTTTGGCCTTGATTACTGCAGCAAAAGTTTTTGGCATTCATTACAAAAATCACTCAAAATATAAGTTTGATAACTGATTCCATTCTTTTTTCAAAGACTCTAAGAGCTCTTTTTAATTGTTTTTTTTATTCTTCTGTCAAGTTCATTCCATGCTAATTCTGGGAGTGGCTTCAAACGTTTAAACTGTAGTGTATATATATATATATATATATATATATATATATATATATATATATATATATATATATATATATACACACACATATATATATATACACACACACACACACACACATATATATATATATATATATATATATATATATATATATATACAAGAGGTTCTGAAAAGTTCTCTGACTGAGAAAGCAACGGTTAAAAGAAACATATGATGTTTGATCATTTGGTCATTTTAGGAAGTGAGTTAGACTGACACTTTTTCAGCATCTTCACACATATTTTGTTATACAATACCATATCAATGTTTAGGGAACAAATTTTTTTTTCTTGTCATTCTAGAAACATCCAACATACATTTGTTTATGTAAAATATTTTCATATTGAGATTATATATAAACCATAACTACAAAAATTTTATGGATGTATTTATTTAACACTATCAGTAATATGAAATTAGAAAATTAAAAACCAAATAAGATTTTAATTAAAATAATAATTAAATTAAAATAACAGCTGCATATTTCTGGCTGGAGAAGTTGATTAAAATATTCAGTTTAAGCTTTATCTTTGCATTTTCTGTATATCCCTTCATTTATCTTCCATATTAGCTTTCTTCAAATAAAGTTTCTCCTGCAGATGTTTTCAATTGGATTTGGGTTTAAGATTCTGGCTAGCCATTTTATCACTGATACTTCTGAAAAACCTTCTTTTTATTAACGTTCTTTGCCTTTTCAGAAGCTGCATAATCCTACATCAATATATTAATCTGCCTCTTAGCCTAGTAAATTTATCAGCTACCATTCTGATAGTCTGTGTACATCTGTTCTGATATTATCATTTAAACAAATTAATATTAACTCAATTAACTTGAATTTCTTAAACAAAGCATTGTTATTATCAGTCATTTCTAACTAGTATTTATTTCATTTTATTAATTTTTATATGTTTCATCAAAAAATTTACACGACATAATATTATTGCTAAAATTGTCTGTTAGAAAGTGATGTAATGGAATAAACTGTCACCCCCATAAGTGACTACACTATAGGTAGTAACTGCCTATAAGTATCTGTAAGTCAACAACAGACTACAGAGTCTCGCTGGGATCTGTTGAGTACGACTCAGACTTATGCACGAATTACCAACCTTCCAATAGTAGCACTCATACTGGATTGACTTGTGATGACCTTGGGCATAACTGTTACCTTTATTCTTATTATACTGGTTTTTACAATAAACCTTTACTTATTTTATCCATCTTGTTTTTCAAGTATATATTCCTATTAGCATGGAATATAACAGAAAGTAAAAGGAGCTCTATCTGCACTTAAGAAAATATCAAGTTACATTTTAAATATAGTTGTTTTTTTTGTTTTTGTTTTAATCATTTCACCCCAAGCAAAGCAAAATAGCCACTAAGACACAAGGAGTCTGAAAGAATAAGAAAAAAGAGAAAAATTATTATGAAGCAAGACCATTAAAAGAAGACAAATCAAAATATGGCTGGAAAGCATGGAGCTGGAAGAGAGTTACACAAGCAAGAGAAGAACCTATTAGCATAAAACTTAGAGTTGCATCTAGCCAATTCAACTGTAAATCTATGAGACATTGTTACCACTAGTACTTCATTTAAATTCAAGAAGACTAAGTACCATAACAGAAAGCACATCAGAACAATTACCATGAAAGTATTTATAGAAAAGGCACACAGAAGATGTTATGGCAGTGTGAAAATGATTGAAACTGAGAATCATTGCAGATTCTTCTTTGGATCTCATCAAGAATCTCTAAATATATAGCAGGAACATCAACCCATATTCAAAGCAAGAACAAATGGTAAACTAGCACAAGAGAGCTATTAGAGAAATAAATCATATATGTTTGCAGCCTGGCTGATAGGATTTATAAAAATAAACATTTTTATTTTTATTTACTCTAAGCATTGCATATAGAGTGAACAAACAAATTCTGGTAGAAGAAAAAATTAAACACTAATTACAATTTTAACACCTACTTCATTTAAACACAGTATATATAGGCAAAGGTTTTGTTTTTTTTTGCCAATGCCCACTGACTTAACTGCTATTCCCTCACGTATTTATCTATTTTCTGATTTTTGTTATCATGACAATATTTCAGTTGTTGTTGTATTCTTCAGCCTTTTCAGATGTCTGTCAATCTGGCTAACCTTCTCTGAATTAAAAACTAGATCCTTTATTTAATCTACAACTAGAGGCTAAAACAGTCAAAATGCTATAATAATAACAAAGATGAGAATATTAGTCCAAGTGTAAATAAAGTAAATAATGACAATTCCACATTCCAGAGATTCAGACAGAAATGAAGTTTCTGCTCAAAATAATAAATATTTCTGGCGTCAGTTAAAAGAATATGATAAATAAAAAAAACTTTGATCTAAAATTGAAGCTGTGAAATTTTGGTCCTCAATCTGTAAAGCTGTGCATTGAAAATAAAGAAAAAAATTATTATAATGCTTACATCATTATGTACACAATGTAATTTTATTTACAAAAATCATGATACTAGTTTTCAATACTTCATCTAATGAATCAAGTGATAAATAAACAAAGTTAGATGGCAGATTGGACATTGGAAAAGAAAGGAAATGAGCTATATAGCAAATGGGAATGACACCAACATGTTACATTTTTGTTGGCAAACTCTTAAGATAGTGCTGCAGATTGATAGGATCCCAAAAAGTATAAAAATGTTAGTTGAAAACATGCCAGAAGCCTGTTCATTATTTCTGACCCATGCTGCTTACTTTAATGATTGAAGAAAGATAGCCTAAGAATGACTTTTCAGCAATAAAGATAGACCAATATAGAACGAGAGGAAAAAAAAAAGGACAAAATTAATAATCTTTGTATATGAACATATAGCCTCTGTCAAGGTTGTTTATGGATGAAGCAGTGTTTTGCAATAACTGCCTGGGTATGAGAGATAGTTGTTAGTGGGTAATTTTCCCAAATGTTCATTGAGCCATTAATTTCTTTGCCAGGAATTGTGACATGCCAGTGATAAGAGATTTTTTCAAGATATCTGATTTCAGAATATAGTAAAAGATAAAGAATGAAAGAACAGTATGACTAACACTTAATATTTAGAGATTCTTGATAAAATAAAAATAAGAATTTGCAATGTTAATGGGCCTGACCTGGCATCTTGGCTTCAGTCATTTTCCTACCATGGTAATATAGCTTGTGTTGATTAAAAAAAAGTGTAAATTTCAAGAAATCTAATTTTGAAATACTCAGAAATATAAAAATAATAATCAACACACACACACACACACACACACACACACCCCCACACACCCCACACATGCATGCACATATATATTTATATATATATATATATATATTATTATTGTTTTTTTAAAAATATATTATCATCGCAACAACAATATTCCCATGTTTCAAAACTGAAACTTCAATTCAAATTCAATTATAAAAACTAAACTTAACTATTATTTTTGATTCTATAACAATAATTTGGAGATCTTATTAAAATCAATGACAGCAAAACAAAGATACAAGACTAAGAAAAATAAATAAATTAGAAACAAAAATAAACTTATGAAAGTCATCCAAGTTTTAAATAGGTCATTATTTAAATATCTAAACACAAGTTCCTAAACTTACCTCCCTAAGCAGTCTTTTAAGTATTCTTAAGGTCAACATTTCCAACATAACCAAATCCCAGCCTCCTTAAATTCATTTCCTTACTTTTAACATTTGCCATTAATCAACTGCTTATCACTGTAACTTGAATCTTCTCAACAAACACCCAAAAACTTAATGAATTCATACATACATACACACATACATGCATACATACATACTTATATTTTGGTATATGTTAATATCTTCTTCTTTTATGTGCCAGCTCCATTCAGGGTATAGAAGATCATTCCCTCCACATCTTCCCTCTACATCTTCCTACCCCTTGTAACTCTTAATAAGTTTTTTCTTTTCATTTTTTTTCCCAAACCTTGTTCTACCATCCATTTACTCAAGCTCATCAAGTATATTACATGCTGCTTTCCTCTGTCTTGCTTTCCCTCAATTTGTTCTGTGAGTTTCAAGTTTGCCAAGCCTTTCTTCCTTATCAAATTTCAACTGCCTGTTTCTGATATTAAGTATAAA